TCTAATTTGTTGATGAACAGGCCGAAAGCTGCTGTCACTTCGTATTTTTCTCTCCCTGTTTGTCGCGTAAGTGCTCACCTGTCCCCACACACGACCACCCGCCAACTTACAATTACCTCATACCCATGTGCTCTCTTCTCTCTCTCTCTCTCTCTCTCTCTCTCTCTCTCTCTCCCTCCCTCTCTGTCTCTCTCTCTCTCTCTCTCTCTGTCTCTCTCTCTCTCTCTCTCTCTCTCTCTCTCTCTCTCTCTCTCTCTCTCTCTCTCTCTCTCTCTCTCTCTCTGTCTCTCTCTCTCTGTCTCTCTCTCTCTCTGTCTCTCTCTCTCTCTCTCTCTCTCTCTCTCTTCTCTCTCTCTCTCTCTCTCCGTCCCCAATTCCTGTACGGTTGACATGTTTTAGTAGTGCTGTGTTCTTCTTTTTCTAAAGAAAGATACTACACGGAATCCAGGTAAACTGCACCAGTACAAAATCTGCGTAAAAGTTTTCTCCGTCAATTTAGGATTTGAATTGTCAGGACTCCACCTGACAGCAAATTTTGTTCAGGATAATACTACAGTACCACTTGTGTCGTTATATTTCCTCTAGCCCTCTCGCTTAGGATGAGCTTTCTTTTTTATGCATGGCAGCTTAAGCGAAGGCTATATACCTGCTTTATGCAGGTTGATGCCAACGCGAACAAGCAAAATAATAATAATAATAATACCACTTGTGAGCGTTTGTGTGTGTGTGTGTGTGTGTGTGTGTGTGTGTGTGTGTGTGTGTGTGTGTGTGTGTGTGTGCGCGCGTGTGTGTGCGCGGTGGTGTAGCTGACCCCCGAATGGTTTCAAACTGCGAAGCTCGAAGTACAGTGGTGGCAGAGGCATGAGCTGTGAATGGAGACGGTTGCTGGAGATGGATGGTGATGCAGGGAGAAGAGTTACGCTGCCTGACGACGAGTGGGACATTGTTTGATCCTGCAATTTCAGTTCGAGCGCGGTGGACTTCTAGACGATGTGTCCTCATGGCTGTTTTTCAACGCTTGGCCTATCGCTGATATCCCTGCGTGGAATGTTCTTCCAGTGGAGTCCAGGTGGGACTTCGGGTGCTCACACTCCATCACCTGGTTGATTATTTCGGAACTGCAATAATACAGGTTCAAATAATTATTGTTTCCTTTTAGTGCGTATCTCTTGTCATCTCTCTTTTCTATACGTCGCACACCAGATGTACTACTATCGCTGTCTTTCTCCTGCTATCTCTCTCTGCTTGCTGTTTTTTGTTTTTGTTGCCACTGCCCCTCATCATACCCATGCTTGGGTGGAGGGCGGCGTGACCCGTTAGGGTAGCTGTCAATACAGTACAGTACAGTACAGTACAGTGTATATGTGTGTGTGTGTGTGTGTGTGTGTGTACATGTGTGTGTGTGTGTGTGTGTACATGTGTGTGACTGTGTGCGCGTGTGTGCACGTGTCTGGGTGTCCCATTGCAGATCTACCGCATGTGCTGCATCTCCCTGGGCACACCACCTACACAGCTGACATGGGAGTACACAGACAAGGACAATACATATCACTGCCATCAAGACATCACACCCGTACAGCTGTACGAGAAGTTTGTCAAGCCGCACTTCGACGTGGACAACAAGGTATGTCTAAGCACACTCACGGCCTTCTGTCTAATGGTACTGTAAGACATATTATTATACCGAGTCGCAAATTTAACGATTGTCCAAAATTCATAGGTTAACGAGAAGATATGTTAACGATCTTGCAGTATTCTGCCATATCCACACACAGCATATATGAAGCAGTACGGCCTCAACGGATCTTATTATAACGAAGAAATGTCATCCGTTAAAACGTTAGATTTGCTTCCTCGTTATATATACATGTCTTACAGTATCTGGGGTGTTAGACCGTAGTCCGTTGCTGCTACTATGCTGCTGGCATTGCTACTGTTGATGCTGTCATTGCTACTGTTGATGCTGCTGCTGCTGCTCTTGCTCTTGCTCTTGCTGTTGCGGCTGCCGTTGCTGCTGTCACTGTTGCAATTGTTGCTGCTGCTGTTGCTGCTATTGTTGCTGTCACTGTTCAATTGTTGCTGCTGTTGCTGTTGCCATTGCTGCTGCTGCTCCTCTTGCTGTTGCTGTTGCTGCTGCCATTGCTGCTGCTGCTCCTCTTGCTGTTGCTATTGCTGGTGTTGTTGCTGTTGTTGCTGTTACTGTTGCAATTGTTGCTGCCGTTGTTGCTGTTGCTGTTGCCATTGCTGCTGCTACTGTGGCCGCTGCCATTGCTGCTGCTGGTGTTGCTGCCGTTGCTGCTACTACCATACATCTGTGTATGTACTGTGCTGTGCTATGCTGGCTGGTGTATCTGTGGATGTGTTGTGCTGTGCTATGCTGGCTGGTGTATCTGTGTATGTACTGTGCTGTGCTATGCTGACTGGTGTATCTGTGTATGTACTGTGCTGTGCTATGCTGACTGGTGTATCTGTGTATGTACTGTGCTGTGCTATGCTGGCTGGTGTATCTGTGTATGTACTGTGCTGTGCTATGCTGGCTGGTGTATCTGTGTATGTACTGTGCTGTGCTATGCTGGCTGGTGTATCTGTGTATGTACTGTGCTGTGCTATGCTGACTGGTGTATCTGTGTATGTACTGTGCTGTGCTATGCTGGCTGGTGTATCTGTGTATGTACTGTGCTGTGCTATGCTGGCTGGTGTATCTGTGTATGTACTGTGCTGTGCTATGCTGGCTGGTGTATCTGTGTATGTACTGTGCTGTGCTATGCTGGCTGGTGTATCTGTGTATGTACTGTGCTGTGCTATGCTGGCTGGTGTATCTGTGTATGTACTGTGCTGTGCTATGCTGGCTGGTGTATCTGTGTATGTACTGTGCTGTGCTATGCTGGCTGGTGTATCTGTGTATGTACTGTGCTGTGCTATGCTGGCTGGTGTATCTGTGTATGTACTGTGCTGTGCTATGCTGGCTGGTGTATCTGTGTATGTACTGTGCTGTGCTATGCTGGCTGGTGTATCTGTGTATGTACTGTGCTGTGCTATGCTGGCTGGTGTATCTGTGTATGTACTGTGCTGTGCTATGCTGGCTGGTGTATCTGTGTATGTACTGTGCTGTGCTATGCTGGCTGGTGTATCTGATACATGTGCCTGTATAAGGCTATAAGACCGTAGTGCATTGCCAAATATGGAATGCACGAGTAATGCATGTGAATACGCTGGGATCAGCAATGCACTGTTCAACACCCCTGCACGATCACACCCAGGTGGTTGTGTGGGAGTGTTTATGGTACATGTACAAATTGCGTCACTGAGCCGCACTGTGTTGTGCTGTGCTGTGATGTGATGTGCTGTGTTGTGCTGTGCCCACACTGTGCTGTGCTGTGCTATGTTGTGATGTGATGTGCTGTGCTGTGCTGTGTCCATATTGTGATGTGCTGTGCTGTGATGTGCTGTGCTGTGTGCGTGTTATGTTGGTAGGTGTGTTTGATGCACGACCCACGTCCTGGTCATCCATACCATGACAGCTATACGGTGCAGTACTTGGGCAGCGTCGTCGGTGGACGCAGCATCCAGTACGTCAACCTGCCCATGGACGAGATGAAGGAAGCCGTCAGGAAGAGCCTTATTGACAAAGAGGTACAACATGACATTGTATACGAATAGGTACTGTATTGCACAGAGTACTGCAACACCGGAAAATTACGGTGGAGATTTATTCTCGGTAACTTCAGTGCATTCAACTCAGATGGAAAGCCAAGGATTAAAAAAAATTTTAAAGAGAGGACCATACACATCCTGTACAGTATAATCCTGCTTGTGATCGTTAGTGTTGGACAAAACGGATAAACTTGTAAACTTATGGTCCTCTCTTTTTTTAAAACTTCGGTACAGGTAATATTTACCTAAAATAAAACCCGACCTAAAATATTATGTCAATCCTGCCATGCCACACGTTGTGCATAGTGCATTTTTGGATCTGGAAAACTGGTTTACCGAAATTTTCGCGCTACCGCGGACCGAACCTTTGATTTTTGGGAAATACCGAAAATGTTACACCACCGGAAATTCCCGATTTTACCTTATAAGCCACGTCCAGATTGTTGTCATGAAAATACAGACATCTACCGTATAAGGCTTTGACGTGTGACGTCAGGTCGTTGACAACTCCGTAGCAACGGGGTGCGAACAACCATAGCATCCCCCAGCACGTGGTGTTTTGCACTGAAACTCCAAATTTTACATTTATATGGCGTGTACAGATTTGAGTAGATACCTGGCATGAAGTACCCGTATTTCCTTTTATTGTTCTTTCGGGACACGAATCTGCTAGCTTTGGCCTCCTTTCTGCAGGGCAGAGTAGGAGCAGTGGCTTGCATGAAATTGAAATTACAAATCGGCGTGCGAATCCTGCACTTTTTATTTGCATTTCCTAAGGAGCATGGAGATCGATTCGTACATTGCATGCAGGTAAAGCTTTCTTTCGCTGACTGGGAGAGGTGATTCACTTCTCGTGACTTCGGACATCTGAAATTTCTCTCTTTACGAGGCGCAAAGATACCGAAGCAAGCGAAAATTGAAGTCTGATCCGAACTCTGAGCTATTTTCGCCAGCTCATCGCAGATTTGTTTGTTTCACCTTCAAGATACTTGGAAGACCAGTCATTGCTCCATCAGCCTTGCAAACCTCTAGCTATTAGCAAGGGGCACCTAGAAAAGCTGTTTCCTCGAGCAAACGATTCTCACCATCAGAAACCTGCATATTAGGGAGGTTTAGACCCACGTAACGGATACGGGAACGTGGGCGATACACGTAAAGCTCATGCAATGGACCCACGTTTGCAATGTTGTGTTTAGTCACACGGATTCGAAACTTGTGAAAGCAAGAAACAAGTAATCATGTCATTTCGGGACACAAACGCCTTGGATAAAACAGTGAGGAGCAAGGGGCCGCTAAGGTTTGCTTGTACCCAGACATTTCGTTGGCATGCGTTGTCAGGTATGTGT